TCTTTGTAGAGGGCTCCAGACGGTGAGACACTGAAACTAACACAGATCCATTCTTTTGTTTCGTTTTCATACTTCTACTGTTTATATATCATACAGTAAAATCCAACAAAAAAAAAAAAACTACATTTAGAAATGTTCAAATTGAGATCTACTCTGAGGTAGAAAGACTTTGAACAAAAAAAACAATGTGTGCATCCAAAAAAATAAATTCAGACCATTTGCCTCAGATAAAATTCCTAGAATGAACAACCCCTTCAGCCAAAAAGTCACCATACACTAAAAACGCAGCCTAATACTACAACGTGCTTACAGACTAATGTCTCGGCAATATTTTCAAACTCAGATAAGCAAGTGCTTTGCTAATTTGTGTAATATTTACATTTTCACGTCCACAGGGCACATTCAGTATGGCTTGGTGTTTTTCATATTCTTCAATTCTTCTGCCGATGAAACTTGTTTCATTGCCAAGGTAACAAGAATATTTTTAAAATTGCGTGAATCAAGAAACTATGCTTGGACTGAAACTTCATACTCCACAGGTCATCTCATGGACCAGAGAAACAAATCAAATTGTGGTAATGCTCGATAAAATGTTTTGGCCGTGTCAGAGTCTGTCCTACCAGTTGCAGCTCGTTACATGTAATCCCTAGTGCTTGGCTTATCAATGATTCACACCTGCATCCAATCTAGTCCTCATTATCAGTGTATATATGTTTCTGCCTATGTCTTACCCATTAGTTGTTGGGCAGTTTTGTGTGTATGACTGATTTAATGGGCCACAAATAAGGCACCCAATACCCAATATTCCTGACCATTACCACCAAATTTTGGCTGTGGCTGCATGGAAAAGTATGACTCATATTATTAAGATATTCAAGTGTAAAATATCTCTAAAATAAGTTTGTGTAAACAAAAGCTCAACCCATATGGCATAAGAGTGAGGCACCCTGCATAAGAAAATCATGCAGAAGATCTGGATGAAACTTTGTTTACAACCTGCATGGAAAAAAACAACTGGTGATGCAGATCACATTCGGCTTTCACATCATTGACGCGGATTCTGTCCTGATTTGCTCTAAGCCCAGCAAATTCATCCTACGAAATAGACTAAGTTCATTTCCTAATTGAAATAAACGTTCTTAATGTAACTTAAAGTGGCTGAACAAAACTGACAACACTTGTCCACATTGCAGATCCCCCAAAAACCAGTAAGAACTTGTGCACCAAGACAGTAAAATCAGTTCATTGATATTTCAATAAATTACAAACCTTCTTGTTCAAGAATCTTTAAATCCACACCACTACCCTTGCCAAAAACTGCTAGCTGCACCATCACTACTGTGAAATTCTGATGGCCGACTGATAAGATCTCAGAAGACAGCTGTCATGTTTTTACCTGATGTACCAAGTGGACTGGCAATCTCAAAATCATCTATGAACAAGCCAAATACCAATCCTTAAGAATTTGCTACCAAGTTTATTTTCTTTGAAGTGCGATCCATTGGGATATTGTGTATGACTATTGTATTACATGTTTTCTCTAAAAAAAAAAAAATAAGGTGGTGCTTGGGCAAGCAAAGCTAATAAAACCTTTAGTATAGGAACATAAACAAATGACTTCCTCCTTATTTGGCTGAACGCATACTCAGTGGGTTCTACAAGAGCAAATGCATTTTTAAAATAAGCTGTTCTTTCATGATCCGTGACAAGGGGTACTGCTTCTCAATTTTTTTTTAATTGGTTGCTGTTGTGTATGATTCTTTAAACGTTTTGCAGTTGCATTTCTCCGAGAACAAGTCCTATTGTCTGATTGTTTGAAAGTGAAGCACTTCTTTATGCTTTCAATTATCAGCTGCACAGCGTTTCATAACACATGGGTGACTGTTTGAATGTATAGCAAAAAACAGAAAGGTGGTCTTGCTGAAAGGAAAAACACACTGCTTTATGCAACTGGAGTATTTTATCTCTCGTATCTCCAGAAGTTGCAAATCCCGCGAAGAAGAGTATCGAACTAGACATTTAGTAATTATGTTCTGCGTTCCATAAGGGAGTGATCCTTGTGATTTATTTTACTGGCCAGTCTGAACGTGAAAAATTGCAGCAGGAATATGAGCACTTAATGATTTTGTAAGTGTCTGCTCAAGTGAATAAAAAGTAATTTTGAAATTCCACTGTTAAACATGGCATAATGTAGATTTTCTGTACTTAGACATGTTTTCAGAGCTCCTGCAGTACAAAGTGAGCTCAGTCCAGGTATAAATACTGCAATGTTCTGTCGTTAGATGATGCCAGAGTTTTAATCTGCAGTGCTTTGTAGGAACATCTTGTTTTTGATGGGAAAATTTGCTGCAAGGGAACTATATGCAATGTGTAGAGGGACCCATTAAGTTCCTGAAAGAACAAATTTTCCCATTATGTTATTCAGTTATGCTAACCCAGTTCTTTGAACAGCCTTGACTGGATGCAAGTGAACACAAATAAATCCTTATGCAATATCTAGTTCTAGAATTATGGCGATGCGGAATAACCATGCAATGATTTGCTTTCGCTGGGGGACATTTCTGGGTCACATGATCCGATTCCCAATATTATAAAACGAACCGAATGTTAAAGCTAACTTTTTGCTGCGTTAACAACTAAAATCATCAGGATGTTTTAAAAAAAAACAGACCGCTATAGAATATATAAATTCTAAAAATCAGTTATTGCGACTGCTATTAACTTAAAGTTACAATAGCCCGCCATCCATGGATTTCTAGAAAATTCTAGGAATACGCATTTGCCGGTAAAAGGATCACTAGCTCGACGATCCTCACGTAAACATTAAAATGTACCTTCAAAATGATACATTTTTAAGATATTTGCAAATTATGTTATTGTATATGATGCTTAAATTATAGATAGGCTAACCACCTCATTCTGCCCTCCACTCGTGAATTTCAGTGGATTTGTAAAACTCACGTCTGAACCATGCAGTCTACACGAGACCAATAAAAAGACATATAATGAACATTTTATATTCGATTCAAAAACTGTGATGAAAATATCAACAACAAAAAAATACAATGTCTCAAAACGCGTCATCTGTTAAGTTAAAAATATTTTTATGTCATCCCAGAACCTTCATTAAAAATGTTAATTTTGAACAAAGACATTATAAAGTCACCATGGTGAGCATCAGTCAATACTGCTGAGCAAATATAGGCTATAAGTATATCTGTTTTCCGGGTACCTGTTCCAAGTCCTTGCCCATCTCCATCTCCCCCCACAGCCAGAAACCTGCTACACCATCTCTGGAAAGCATGCACTTAAGTTTCTAATGAAACTGAACGTCAGACTGCTCCACACAGATCAATTACCCTGTAATTGTATTTGTTTTTTCACAGATAAACCGATGAATGGCATTTACCGGTAGCCACGTGTTTGCCAAGTATGAGAGAGAAAATTATAACAACGGAACACTGCAGCATCAGCCATTGTTTCAATAATTTTCCCTGACAGGCTAAACCACAGCTAAATTCACCATTTGTGTGGTGTATCACGCCTATTACCGTACATTTGAATGATTTCTGTATTTCAGGTGTTGTTCTTCCTAAAAACCGTAACATGAAATTAGCATAGGAGCCTTATAATTAAGTTTGTCATGTCTTGAAACAGAATGTAATTTGACGCCCCATGAACATTTTGTTTTCCGAAATCCTCTGACGTCACTGGGAGACATTTCTGTTAGTTTTATTGTGAGTCTAGGGAATAAAATATATGCGCTCTGCAAGTCGTGAGTATTTTGCTTACCTCTTTTTAAAATACCATCTACAGCCTATCCCCAGCTATCCTACAACGGTTAAGTGTCTAGATTTTTTTCAGTAAAATCTGCTGTATTTTTCTTAAAAGGCATTTTAGTGCAGCCTGAAATGCTTTTGTGAAAGTGTCAAGTGTAGAGGGTGGTCAGCACACTGTACAGAGAAACTGTAACATGCCATAACAAGAAAAAAAAACGGTAATTTAATTTATCAAACATATTTATAGCTTTACTTGTATCCATATCCAAATACACCATACATTTGAGAGATTTAACAAATCTTAATGATAACATAATAATTCGCTAAATGAAAAATGAAAATTATAGAAACGGTTTTGAAATGTGCCTATAAAACATTCATTGTAATGTATTTACTATGGAATTTATTACATAATCATTTCAACTCACGAATAAATGTAACACCTAGCTATTGTTTAAAAACATTTCCAAGGCAGGAATTTTCCATATTTTCAATGTACATTCCTTGATGGGTTTTTGTACAATTTCCCGGTGATATCTACTAAAATCTGCCACAAAGAGAACGGTAACTTGGACTTGTGCGGAGGAGGGCGGGACGCAGCAATAGACAAAGAGAAGAAGACCGGAGAAAAAATGCAGCAAAAAGATGATGAAGCTGAATTGCTCGCGCCGCTGCACGCGACCAGCAAGGCGAAGAATACAGCATGAAAAACAAGTCGAGTTTGATACTCCAAAGGCCCATTTTACATATTACAAATGACAAATATCAGCATTAGCATCATCGCCACGACCACAAAAATCACATTATTATTATTATTCTCATTGTTATTAATATTAATATTATTATTATTATTATTATTATTATTATTATTATTATTATTATTATTTCTACAACTATCAGTTTCCGTTATGCCATACGTACGCCAATCACAACACTTGGGAAAAACCTTGCAATTCTCTGTGCTGTTGTCTGCCCTTCAGTAAAAAAAATAGAAAAGAAAAAAAAAGGAAAAAAAACATACTACTTCATTCATCCGGCTTCCATTCATTCATCAGAAGACTGCAACGTAGCGAAGACTCCTGGTTCGATCGAGAGGAAAATTCTTATCAATGGAGGAGCTTACGTCAACAAGAAGCCGTGACGTTTGGTCACATGGGCGGATTGGGTTTACGTATATAAAGTGGAACTGTCCTGGGTGCTGAAAATATCTTTGCGCTGACGAATCATCTCTTGATCGTTCCGTATATGAACATCAGAAACAGAAATAGTTAAACAAAATCGTAGTTTTATATGTAATTATAAATACTTGAACAAATCAGCTAAAAGGAGAAATAGATCATTATTAAAGAGAATTAAAAACAAAATAACTTCAAGGGAGACCGACGTTTTCCTACGACGTATTCCAGGTAAGTAATCAGTTACATCTGTAGCACTGTAATGATTGCTAATAACAAAGTAACATTAATTGTTATTATAAAAACTTGGTTGAATACACAATAGAGAAATGTAAAACTGTGTTTATGTGGTCAAGAACATTTTAGACTGTTGTATTCATCGTCCATTGTTTTATATAAGTAAATTGGTTTCAATTAACATGCTTTGAAATGAGGTGAATGAATAAATAAGGCTGCACGATAAACAGAGAGAAAAACAAGGACGCCAGACAGAGATAGAAGGGTTTAGAAGAGACTGAATCGGGGAGGAAAAAGGAGAGCATGATAAGGGGCGGAGTGTAAAGGCAGACGTGTACTGCTATAATTAGTTTTCTGAGACAAAGATCATTCTCGTGATGTTTATGACAAAACAATGGCGATATGAAGACACGAGGTAGGAAAATAACAGAAACTCGCACTAAGTGTCAAAGCAATTTTTTTTTCTGAAGATATACAGAGAAATGAGCCAAAGTTGCTTTTCGGGCGGATTTATACATTTCTCGACGCGAACATTGTTATTATGCATAAATACAGATGCCGATTCTTAGATAAGGGTATAATCGGGAGGAGGCTTTTCCAGTAACTAGACTATAAAACTAGTCATTGTTTTCTTAAAGCGGGTTAGCCAGTTATAGACGGGAGTCCATGATCTCTTAAGTATTAAACGTGATAACAGAGTCGCGGAGATAGCGATGGCGGTTTTTAAACGAAAGTCCAAGGGTGTGCCCTGAGTAAATTGAAAGTTACGGAGGTCCAGAACAAATGTATTTGACGTGCGTTAGAAGTTTTCTCAGAAAACACTTTTGAATCAAATTATGTATTGCAAATTTGTTTTCAAAACAGTGACACAGATTGTACAAAACAAGTATAAATAAGCACGGTTAAGAGCTAATTGTAAAGCCAATGGCAAAAAGGTGAACTAACAATTTGGATGTGACATGCTTGAGTCATCGTTTGGTAAATACATCTGAAATACCTTACCTTTGAAGCAGTTCGGGTTCTTCGACATAATGCGCCATCATACGGTTCTGGCTAGGTGTTCCAACAGAGGGGACACTAATCAGGCCTGCCTCTATCTGCTTCAATTACACTGGACTCGTGTGACATCCTTATGACCTATTCTCATTTTAAACCAATTTAAAGCTTTTCCGATTGCAATGGTGCAATTATTAATGGCTTTGAACGTTAGAATTATTTTATCAGATTATTTTGACTGCATTGGATTTTGTTTATTATTATTAGGTGTATTATTATTATTGACGTTATTTATATAGCCTATTATTAAAATCTATCTTACCGATGAGTTAGTATTTATTAGAAATCAAACCGTGGTATACACGGTTGCGCACAGTGTTCCGTTGTATTTATCAGTTCCAATAAATAAGTCAAAAATCAGGCTTTGACATTACTGTCAAACTTTAATAGTGCGGTTCCGCGTGCCTATTAAGTCACGTGTATGGCCGGGCTTAATGAAACCGCATATTTGAGCAGAGTGAGCTTCTGAGCCAATTAATGAGGCTTGGCAATAGATCTCCAATGTGCGGGCGACTGAAAACAAGCATTATCTGCTGCGGGGGGTTTTCTGACTACGCCAAAGGAGTTTCATATCGTTTAAATAGTTAGGTTTTAACGATTAAAAAAATCTAATAATGCTAATTTTGAATTAGTACTCGTGCAAATATTTTGCTTCTTAAAAAGCAGAATTGATATACCACAACATTTTTATTGCATATATAATGTTGTCTTTGAAATCAGCATCTATGTAAAAGGCACATGGTTCTCATTCCAGTGCATATAAGCATTTCATATATGCATTGCTATGGACTACTGACCTGGCTTCTGTCAGATAGAAGGAGGATGCATGCAAGTGACCCTCAAGATAATGCATGTTACGAAAGCTTGGTCATTTCAAAGCTTTCAAATAAACAAAATCATTTGTAAATACAACATGGCATCTTACCGTTGTAATATTAATGCTAAAATAGTGTTGGTTAAAAGTTGTTGACATTTGTTGATGTTTGTGCTATGCATTGAATTAGTACAATGATGTAATTGTTATTGAGGCCATTTTCTCTTGCTATGTGAATGCAGATGTTTCCCCTTCTTTCATCCTCTCTGCTAGGTCCATCTCCTTCTTCAGTGTTGTTTCCCTTGTGAGGTCATGACCTGGTACAAACACAACTCAAGGGCCACTGTCGTGCTGCTTTTCCTGTTCTGTGTTACGCCACAGCTCGCCACTGCCAGTCCATTAACTGAACAGAGACTGAGCGATGACCTAGGTGACACCCCTCCGCCTTCAGAGATTCCCCAGCTGGATGGGGCAGAAAACGCAAAGGTGCCAGAAGTGACACAGGCAGAGACTGGGCTTACTGAGATGAGTCCTGAGGATGAGGATGAGCTTTTTAAAGACGTGGATCCCAAAACCCTAGCTGCTGTTCTTCTCCAAGCCCTCAACCGCCCAGGAGATGAGAAGAAGAGCAGCAGGTTGGAAGAGAGGGCGGAGGGAAAGGAGAATGAGAAAGGAGAGGAGGAGGCACCTCAGGGGGGGGGCAGGGACCGTGATGGGCGGCAAGAGCTGGAGCTGGTGATGGCTGCTGCAGCAGCGGAGAACAAAGAGGCACAAGAAAAAGAGAAGGAGAGAAAGAGAGAGGAGGAGGAACGGCTGACAGAGAAGGTGAAAAGTAGGACCACCAGTCAGACCATGCCGGTGAAAGACCAATCTGAGCAGGAAGTTCTAAAAGAACCAGAAACAAAAGAGGAAGAACAGCTCAGTTCCCAAGAAATGAAGAAGCTGCAGACCATGCTGGAGGAGCTCCATCACTTCAGCACCACCACCAAAAGAGAGTGGGACTCGGTAGGCCAGAGGGAAAGCCGTGGGTCCTACACAAACACGGACAAAGACTTTTTGAATAACGACATTGATATAAAGCCAAAGGGATATAAGCTAGCTATGTCAAAAAAGAAAATTAAATGGCAAGAAGAACAGCAAAAACAAAAGCAGCCCTTCTACAAGGGTGGAAACTTTATGGATGACTTTGATATTCAGACTAACAGTCAGGAAGAAGGAGACAAGGAGCAGGAGGAGGAGTTATTGAGCCCAGAGGAAGAGGAGGCACGGGCCAAAGCGGAGCAGGAGGAAGTCAGAAGGCAGGCCGCAGAAGCTCAGAGAGCAAAGGCTGAGGAGGAAAAACTGGCTGATATTGCGTCTGACATGCTGCTACAGTACATGGTTAAACCAGACGTGAAGCAGAACCAGGACCAGGCTAAGAAAGCCTTTCTTGGGAATAATGTAGCAGAAGATAAGCGCTCAGATGAAGAGGACAACAGTAATGATGAGGATGACATTGACCCTCAGACTATCGACAAGCTAATAGAGATTTCAAGTAAGCTGCACCTGCCTGCTGATGATGTCGTTGACATCATCAGCGATGTAGAAAGGAAGAAGAAAAAGGATGCCCCTGAAAACCTACCATGGTATCGTCCACTCGCCCCTCCGCCAGTCCCTGCTCCTGCCCCTTCCCCTCTAAATCCTGCCCCTAAGCAACCCACTCAGCTCAACCGGCCTTCCAAGCCGTGGTTGCAGGAAAAGTTTCCAGTCAAGCAAATCAAACAAGATTTTGGGCCCAAGCCTCAGAAGCAAATTTGGACCTACCCTTCTAATAAGTTTTATCAAAAGCCCCTCCGTGGCTATTACCCAATCTATTTCCCACCTCCCAAGCCAAAACCTCGCTACTATGTAAAGCCTGCATTTTCTTTTAATAATGTTTTGGGAGGCTCTATGGATTATGGTTTTGACTTTTCCCCAAAACAAAAGTTGCGATCCTGGGCCCAACCGGCTCTCAGACGGAATTTTTACCTTCCCAAGTACGTTTTCCCCAATCCCCGGACATTCAAGCAAGTGCCAATGCCCAAACCTCGGTCACCTCCTCGCCGGCGTCCACCTTTCTATGACCCACCAGCAACTCCCATGATTCTCCGAGATGAAGACTACTACAGCCCAGTGGGGCAACTGGCTAAAAGCGACCAGAATCTGGAAAACTTTATTCAGAAGGTCTTCCTGAAGCGGCCTAGACTGTTTCAGTGAAGGCCAGTAAAGCAGGATTTGTTGAATAAAGAAGAGAAGAAGGAAGAAGTTAGTGATAGAGAATCATAGAAAGATTGCATTTCTGTTTCCTCCATTTTGATTTGTCAGAAGCAAGAAGGGTCTACATCAGGGGTGGCCAATCTTAGCCGCAAAGGGCCGGTGTGAATGCAGGTTTTTGGGATAACCTTTAGGTCAGCTGTTCAAACCCAGGTGTGAGGACTTTTCAACCAATCAGTCCTCTAATTAGTAATCTAATTAGGGAGTTGCAGCAAAAACCCACATACACAGCGGCCCTTTCTGGATAAGATTGCCCATCCCTGGTCTACATTCTCTAATTCAGTTTGATTTGGTCACAGAATGTAGGATTTGTGAGTTCATTTAATGGTGTCCTGGGCAGTTCACAACTGAATTACTAAGACACAAGCCAAAATATGGCAGCGCCCCTGCCAAAACTGCACATCTTATAAAATATATAGAGTAAACAATTAAAAGGCAGTAAAACATCATAGTATAACAGGGTTCCAGAGTTATGCACAAAGAACTTCAAAACCAAAACCACTTTGATTACTTCTTTTAACATATGTACTGTATATCTTTCATCTATTTCATCAATATCAGTCTGTGGCAGCTTTTAAATCACAAACAAAGCCTTATTTTTTTCTTCCATGGTGGTCTTTGTTTTGGAAGTTGAAGTTTAATTATCTTAATTTATTTCACATTTTGGAAAAGTATACATACATTGGATTGCATTGCAGTGTTACATGTTTAAAACAAATTACAATCACAAAGCCAGAACACTTAAAAATTGATAATCAAGGTGCCAAATTGCCAAACAAATAAATACATACTTCCCATACATATACACTGTATGTTTCCAGTACCTGTTAAAAAGTCAACCAGTTCATTTTTGATCCTTTATTGTGTTTTTCTTCACAAATCATGATCTTATTGCATTGTTAAATGTATTGCCTGTATTACTAGTGATTTCAATATTTTTTCAGTTTATATGTACTTCATGAAAGAAGAATTTCATATATATATAATATATATATATATATGTGTGTGTGTGTGTGTGTGTGTGTGTGTGTCTGTGTGTGTAACACATATTAGGGGGCTGATTGCTTTAATGCCAGTTATTATACACAAATGATTGCCTTATCAAAACATAATCCTTACTTTTGTTATAGAAATTTTGTCTATATCCAGCTGTTCAAAGATCACCTGTGCAAATGCTACTTCAAAAACCTAAAGGTCTCATTATGTTCCTAAACCGATAAATTGATTTATTTTCAATTTATCCTGCCTGGAAAATGACTTTCCATTTTTGTCTGCCTACTTGTCATCCCTCATCCACATGTCACATGACCAAAACAAGACGCCTAATTGAAAAACTGTATGATCTGGCCACAAGCGTTCCACTGAAATATTTTTATTTTGAGCAAACATGAAGAAGAAAACAAACTGCCGATATGAGCTGTGACTCATTCAGTTCCTTCGCTGCAGTTAGTTGATTCTGGAATCCCTCCAGGCCAACAAGATATCATTGACTGATGAAAACTGATGAAAGAGGACACGTTTGTTCCCTCATCTACCAACTCTTTCACACAAGTGCCCAAATCTGGGTTCTCTCAGCTACGTTATCTTTCTACATTGTAGAGGAAGATCCAAAAGGGGAGTCAGAAAATGGGACATTCTTTAATTTGACGTTTTTTTAAGAGGAAAAAAGGGAGAGTGTGTTTAAAAAAGGAAAAGGGGCGTCAAAACAGATTAGTCTGCACGTTGATGTGTACCTTGCATCTCTTTTTAAAAATGTTGCTTCTCTGAATACATTATGAGCATTGAAAAAAATCTAAAAAAATAATTACATTTATTAGCGTATGAAGTAAATCTGTTCAGTCATGTATAAAGGAAATTTGTCGTTGATGCTATTTCTAGATGTACCTTGTATTTACCGTAATAAACATGCGTTTGCTGGATGTAAATAACCGCATGTTGATGACTAGTTTTGCTACACAAAAAGAAATAAATAAAATAAATTATTTTTTATTAATACTGTTTAAAATTCCTTTTTGGAAAGAAACCTACTGTGCGCTATTATCTGCAATGAAATCCTGCAAAGGATCCAATCAGACCATACACATATTTCACACTGAATCTGGCACCTCAGACCATCACAGGGGAATCACCCGCATTGAGTTTCATTGTAACCTACAATGATAATAAATGTATTGTATTCATTCTATTCTATTCTGTTAATGAGACTAAAACTTGAGACAACTACAGCTTTCCTTGACTAGCATAAAATATACAAGAACAAGATGGCAAGTTATAGCAAAAAATGTGAAATGTACACAGTTATGTACTTACCATGAAACATTGTGTGCTTGTCCCTAAACATTGATTTCACTGTAGTTCACAAGCCTACACATTTTACACACACTTCATACAAACCCACTCTCAGCTCCCCTGCTAGTTATCAGTCACTCCCATTTCAAGTTTGTCCTTTTGCCTGATGCACCATGTTCCTCAGGAAGGGGGGGGGCTCTAGGTGCTGGTGGGAGATTCTAGCCAGTATGACTCTCCACGGTACATTACAACCATTACATTAGGTTTCCAGTGCAAAGGGGGCTCCAGCTTGTGAGAGAGGAGAGTCATGCTTAGAAAGAACACAGCACTGCAGAGAACTATAATGGCTGCGATACAGCACTGCATTTTACATACAAGATGTCCATTTTTACGACCCCTCCCCCCCCCAAAAAAAAAATACATAAAAATAAATTAAACCCTAAATCAGGGCCGTGCTACGCAATGAAAGGGAGAAAAAATATAGGCAATAACAGCAAAGGCGTGATGCAAACTCCTCTGCCCACAGAGGATCAGTGAGTCATGGGTCACATGGTTAAGGGTGAGTCATCATCGGCCGCTGCTCCCACCCGCACTGCGCCGCCTGCCACACCCACACAGAGCGCTGCTGTGATTCACAGCCCCCAGCACTGGAGCAGCTGCACATGGCCGCTCTCTTATGTACTGCTGCCTGGAGCCAAAGCGATGGCACTGGTATCCCATCTGCAAAGGTGCCCACATGGCTGGCATGAGCTTCCACAGGTCCCGATAAAGACACCATCCCCACAGTCCGTTAGCCTCAACCAGGTATATGCATTTATTTCATATCTATAAATACATATTAATTTAAATAATAGAAACATACTTTCAAATAGACGTACCTGCCACTGAATAAAAGACAGTGAACATTTGGACCTGCGAGTGCTGATTTGCCAGGTGATGAAAATATGAAAGGTGAGGAAAAAATAATGATAAATGAATCAATGAACTGTACAAGTCATTTTGGAAGAAGTTATTATAATTATAACATTATTTATGAGTATTAAAGTCACTGTATTCCTGTTTTAAGGTGATGCTTCAAAAAAAAAGGATGCAGATTTATTGAAACTACTGAGGGTAAAGGTAAGGCCAGGGGGTTGATGTTTGCATGCCAGAATTCCTCATGTAGCATCTTTACAAATTTCTAAAAATTTATGGGAAAGGGAGAAGTGCAAGATAAGGGGAAGGCGCACACACAAGAAATGCAATTTGGACAACCGTGCCCAGATCTACCCAGGGAGAATTCAACGCATTGCCGTCAGCGTGGTGGGTGACTCATCCACACAGCCAGCAATGGCTGATATTTGCCCAGGCGAACAGCAGTAAAAACAAAGACAGATGTGTGTTGCGATGCACCTCAGCAGAACTCCGCACATTTGCATGGTTAACAGACAACAGCAGATCGCTAAGAGGCGGCAAACAAGCTGGAGCAAACCTAACATTATGTTATATTACGTGAACCAATAAAATTAAATAAAAACACTGCATCATCACGTCATTTAGCTGATTGTAGAGCATACTTCATCTGTAGTAATTTACAAGCATCTAATTACTGCTTAAATCATGTCCAAATTACATTTACATTATTTTACGATAGCCTGTTGATAGCTGTCCGGCTAAGTGCTCTGACAGCCTCCTATAATGCCGTCACGCTGAGCGGAAGCCTCTGCAGGACACTTAGCACGTTTCTCACCAACGAGCATTCGACCCGCAAAGTATGAGTCTGCTACACCTAGGGGATGCATCATGTCACTTATATAGTGCAAAATCAATAGCCGGCCTCTTTGCAGCAAAGAATGGGGAGGCGAATGCGACGTTATTTCACTTCAGCCTGAATACTTGGTTCCTGGTCTTCGCTGAATGCCAGACTGACGATGATACGTCAGGCTGCATGGACTGAGACATTCTGAGCTGTAATCAGGCAGAAGCAGGCGACACACTTATAATGCTGAAAGTGAAGTGAGTGATGGTATGTGTTTCCTCTGGCTGTGTGTGTTGTCAATGACCGCAGGGTTGCTTTTAGTGAGCAGTGTGATGTCAGTGACCATAAGGTCTGCCTTAATGGTGTACCCCGTTAATGGTATCAGGGTTTACTTTAATGCTGTGCGTGATGCCTGTTACTGCGAGGGTGACCACTTGCCCGGAATCCATCCAGACAGTTCGTCCAGTTATATAGCCCTCTGTCCAGACTGTTGTAGGGTGTCCTCCTTTTAGCTCCCTTGTTCTCCTTCACTCCCCACTCCCGCGCCCCCCCCCCCCCCCCACCCCTGGTCACACAAAAGATGTGAAACACCCACCCACAGAGTACGGATTGCGGGAATGGCCGCGCTCGCAAGTATTCTTTGATGTGGCTCTATCAGTATAACAACATCATTATTTTGATAGACATACCATTCTCAGCTTCCGTAGCATGCGTACGATATACCCCCCCACCCCGCTTCACAGCTGTTCATGGGTGTCCTCCTTTTTAAGCCTTAGGCCTCTTTTTTGGACACAGATGACTCCCTTTTCTTATTTGGCTGGGTGAAATGTTACTTGTGTGTGATGTCGGCTTCTACAGGATTCCCTTAGTGCTGTGTGCAGTGTCAGGGACTGCAGGGGTTCCTTTACTGTTGCGTGTGATGTCATCTTCTACAG